CACATATCCACTGAAACTTGTCAGGGATAAGCTGACTTTTCACTCACAAACAGTAGCCGAAACTGAGCCTGAAGTCGACCTCTGCTCAGGTGACGGAAAAACTGTCTCACAAGGGAAGGATACCAGGTCGAAGTGGCCATTTGTAACGAGACATACACCACTAGATGTGTTTTTGGACGCTGATCTCGAATCTGCTCTCCAAATCTGCGAAACGATTCTCTGAACGTAGTTATGAAGCGAGATAGTGCAGTGGCAGCGGCCCGGGCCGACGAGCAAGAGGTCGTGAGATCGACTTCTTGGCGAGTTCTCAGCTGCTTTTCTTGAAAACATTGTTCAAAGGACTCTTATGCATGCTAAATCATCAGCGACTGCCTATCCTATAAGTGGAAAGAGCTGGCAAAGAGCTTCGAACACTATGCGCGTCATTTGCCGTGTCCTGTCGGTCGTGTGTGCCCACATTTTCGACTTTAGGTCAAAATTTTGGATTTGGACCAAAAGTTGTCACAAGGGGTACTTTGATGCGCTGAACACGAAAATCACATCTATTTGGCAAGAAAGTGCATGACGCATGCGCTACGGGTGCCAGAGACGGTCATTTGCAAATGACGCGCACAGTGTTCGAAGCACTTCGCCAGCTCTTTCCACTTGTATGATTGGCAATCGCTGATGGATAAAAGTTCCTTAAACAATGTTTTCAAGAAAAGCAAAAGTAAGAACTCGCCAAGAAGTCGATCTCACGACCTCTTGCTCGTCGGCCCGGGCCGCTGCCACTGCACTATCTCGCTTCATAACTACGTTCAGAGAATCGTTTCGCAGATTTGGAGAGCAGATTCGAGATCAGCGTCCAAAAACACATCTAGTGGTGTATGTCTCGTTACAAATGGCCACTTCGACCTGGTATCCTTCCCTTGTCAGAGCTTATGACCCCTAAAGCAGAAATAAAACAACTACAAGAAACGAACTTGGTCAACGATTGCCACAGCTCCATCGAGCAATTCAGCATCGTGGAACCTTAGCACAGGAACTGTCACGAGTTTGGCGAGTTGATCAACTTCCGCTTCAGGAGCATCGGTAGCCAAGAAAACTCGGGAAACACCCAGTTTCTTGTGCAGCTCATTCAACTGAAATCGGTAATGAGAATCGATGTGAAGATAAATCTACTGCTTTCCCAATTGAGGGATGATAAAGCACAGATCTTTCTGTCCGGTCTGTGGGTAAATCTAAGATATTAAAACCTTCAGAAACTCGACTATGTACAATTTCTTCGAAAAATTCTCCTTGGAGCGTTTTGAGGTTTATTTGATTTACAAGAAATTATACCTATGTATCTCTCATAACCTACATTTAAAGGCAGCGGCCGCAATAGATCTAGCTGGGTTTAGAGTAAAAAAGCGCGCTAAATGGTGCGCCAGTGGCAAAGAAAGTTGAGAGTATCACTGCTATACAACTAAATCACTGTTCGCTGCAGAACACATACCGCTTCCATCGCACTTGTTAGTGATCCCGGTGGCATTATTTACTCTCCGGGGTCGTACTTTACCGTGATCAATGCCTTTAACATATTCACGCCGGCGGGCTCTATGGTTCTGCGACGAATTAATTTCTTGTTAGGGGCGCTATGAGAGGAAAAGATAGGTGGTCGAACCTCGTTATTAAGTCCTAAAATCTATTGCTTCTTTGCGGGGAAAGTGAATAAATGCTCTCTTTTCGTTACACTATTCGTCGTTTTGATCGAAGTCTTATTATTATAATGTGTTAACACATTCACGCCGATGGCCACCCATATGGGCTGCCAAACATGCGCTCCTGGGACGATGGCAGCCCATATGGGCTGCCAACTGATAATCGTCGCCAGGCGATAGGAATGGACAGATAGGTGGGCAAATCGCGTAATCGAGTGAAAATGCTTTTAAATTTCTTCACGGGGAAGTAGATAAAATTGCTCTCTTTACGCCGTCCTATTATATCGTTCTGATCGAAATCCTACTAAATATTATATGTTTAGATTCTTTAGGATGGCAATGCAGAAAATTGATTTTTGAAATATTTTGTGACATTCATGTTTTTGTTCATTTACAGTACAAAATCTGCGGATGTGAGGTGAGGCGGCGGCGCCCACAAAATCGCGTCCGTCCCACGCGACCGAAAAGTGGAAAAGGGGCGCCGTCGTGAATGTGTTAAGTATTGTGACTGCGGCTCTCTAAAGACCATTGGCAACATAATAGACCTTGATACAGTGAAGAAATACTTCTAAGAATTCAACCTGCTTTGCAGTGCCTTCGATACTGGGCAGCTCTTTCCCATGAGCTCGAACAAAGTCACGACGTCTCCAGTGAGCACAAATGTAATCGCCACCTATTGCTTGTCGCTTCCTGTTCTCTGCTCGAAACGAACTAGCCAGCTGAGTCCGATCACGCTCATCGTCCGATTGCAAATGCGTAGCCCTTAATAAAGCGCCAATCAAAATAATAGATCTCCAATAGAAATGCTAAGAGTTTAGCGAAAAATCGAGGATATCTTTCGGAATATTCCCAAACGCTCTTGCGCAGGTTTCAGCCATGCATACTAAAACATACTAGTTATGGTGGTATATTAAAAACTGTACTCGCGATTAAATAGACTAAGAAAAGCAAGAGATTATATATGGTCTACTTGAAACCGGGAACTTCAGATTCCTTGACATTAACATGGTGGGCAGTTCGTTACAATGGAACACTTTTATTCAATCGACCTCTCGAACAATTCCTCAACATCGGGCTTTTCCTAGATCATACCCTAGATTTGTTTACGGATTTTGGTGGGTTGGGATGTAGCGCCCAACCCACCCAAATCCGTAAACAAATCTCGAAATTCGAAAAAAAAAACAAGAAGCTTCAAATTGCTACTCTTCCTCACAAAAGACCCGCCCATTCTTTTGCGCGATGAATACATAATTTTACTTTCTAGGCAATCATCAGATCATTAAGTTTTTTTTTCTGTGTGAGCTTCTTTTGACCTTGTTAATTCAGCAGCGATAACGAATAAAGTCAGCTTTGCTGTACTTTGACCTGTTGCAATTCTTTAGCTGAAAGCAATCATGATTTTGTCATCTACTTCCTTCAGAGTGGCGATATGGAAAGAGCAGCGCTAGCGAAGCTCCTGTAATCGGCTCCCATCTTAAAGACACATTCCGCGATTCATTAGGTAGGGGAAAACGCAGATATCGCACAGCAAGTGCGCCAGTTGTCGTCAATTTGGCCAGCTGGTAGCCGCTCTTGTGGCCGTCCATGGGCAGCGGTCAACCGGAAGGCTTGGTGATTCAGCGTTTTGTAGTGTTCTCTGGGCACTCTCGCACATGCACACTATTACAGCATCTCTGCTTTCTTTCCTTCCTTCGAAAGGCTTAGTCCTACAAAAGCACAGAGTAATTCTGTCTGGACTCTCACGCATTGGTTGACCGCTGCCCCGTAACCCTCTTGTGGCTCGCCTGCGCTATGCGGCGGGAGTCTGTGCTCCTCCTCAGTTGTAGTGCTCCCTCGTCTCGATTGTATGTACTCTCACCTCTGCGCATAGTGTTTTTTAGACTGTCCATTTCTATTATATCTTGTCGACGGTCGGCCATATGAGTAAAGGGCCCTCATTTTTGATGTTATCAGCGGTTTCTTTTGTTTTCCTTCGTTTTGGAACCACACAGCCCTTTCTTCATTCTTGGGTACAGTAATAGTAAATAAATAGCCCTTCCACTCAGCTGTCATTGCTACACCATATTAACTACACAAA